GAAGAAAGAAAAGATAGGAGAGAAAGATGAGAGAAAGAGAGAGGAGAGGAAGAAAGGAGAGAAGGAGAGGAAAAAGAAGGAAGAAAGAGAGAAAGAAAAGAGAAAGAAAGCAAAGAAAGAAAGAAAGAAAAAAGAAGAGAAAGAGAGGAGAAGAAAGAGAGAAAGAGAGGAGAGAAAGTGAGAAAAGAGGAGAGGAGAAGGAAAAAAGAGAGAGCGCCGCACCCCCCCCCCCCCCCCCCCCCCCTCCCCCCCCCCCCCCCCCCCCCCGCCCCCCCGCAACAGAGAAAAAGAGGAGAGGAAAGGAAGGAGGAGGAGAGCAAGAAAAGCAGAGGAGAGTGATATGAGAGTGATATGGGGGGAGGAGAGGAGAGGATGTGATGAGAAGATGGATCACCCCAACAAAATAAATACGAAAAAGGAAAAGAGAGAGAGGTGTGGAAAAGAGGAGCTAGGAGAAGGACTGCTCCGGAGAAATAATAAAAATGATGGATGGATGGATGAGCTGGCAGTGGGGTGGGGGATGGACAAACCTGACCTAGTAACAAAAAAGAAAAATGTCTTTCCTTCAAAGAGAACTGAATTGGCAGAAAAACTTCCATTTCATGAGCTGCATTTCCCTAATGTAATTATTTAACAAGTTTTGGCACGGCTGAAGTGAAAATGAACATGAAAAACACACCTAATCTATTTTTCATTAGAGATACTTTTAAGCTCTCATTAAATCATATTTTATAAATGTCCGGTAATGAATATTTCATTCCTGTCTGATGGGCACGTTTCAAAACACGCTTTTCCATGGCGAACGTTCCAGAGCGAGATCGCCCCGATACATTTCAGGAAGGGGGCCGGCCTCCGACAGTTTGTTTTTGTATATATATATATATTCTGTATTTTCAGGCGCGATGGACCACTTTGGTCTTTTTTCTGCCATCACTTATGTTTCTTCTACTCCTTTCAAGACCCTTCAGTCCCGATGTAAGTAGTGGGAGGAGTTATGCATATATCAAACCGCCTTGACGGGTGGACGTCAGTCTGGAGGAGCGGGCGTCCCTAGACAGGTTGTATTTACATACAGGTAACAATCGCATGTGATGTTGGGCCTCCATGATCTAATGAATAAAAAGGGCGGGGCCAGGGACAGTCAGGCTGAGGAGAAAAGGGCTAGATCAGGGGTGGGCAAACTGTGGCCCTCCAGCTGTTGTAGAACTACAAGTCCCATGAGGAATTGCAAAACTGACAGTTATAAGCATGACTCCCAAAGGCAGAGGCATAATGGGACTTGTAGTTCACCAACAGCTAGAGGGCTACAGTTGTCCACCCCTGGGCTAGATGATGCCTGGCGGCCTACAGCCAGGAAATGGGGCGGATGCTCTGTCTGACTTGCTGCAGCTTCTAGTGCACATGGTGAGAAGCTCACAGTGTGCGAGAAAATCAGAGGAAGCCATGCAGTCCAGGAGAGGAGCCAGTACACCTGTGCAAGACTGAAGGGGAGGAGCCGGTACAACCTGTGCAAGACTGAAGGGGAGGAGCCGGTACACCTGTGCAAGACTAAGGGGGAGGAGCTGGTACACCTGTGCAAGACTGAAGGGGAGGAGCCGGTACACCTGTGCAAGACTGGAGGGGAGGAGCCGGTACACCTGTGCAAGACTGGAGGGGAGGAGCTGGTACACCTGTGCAAGACTGGACGGGGAGGAGCTGGTACAACCCCTGTGCAAGACTGAAGGGGAGGTGCTGGTACACTTGTGCAAGACTGGAGGGGAGGAGCCGGTACAAGAAGACTGGAGGGGAGGAGCCGGTACACCTGTGCAAGACTGAAGGGGAGGAGCCGGTACACCTGTGCAAGACTGAAGGGGAGGAGCCAGTACACCTGTGCAAGACTGGAGGGGAGGAGCCGGACACCTGTGCAAGACTGACAGGGAGGAGCCGGTACACCTGTGCAAGACTGAAGGGGAGGAGCTGGTACACCTGTGCAAGACTGAAGGGGAGGTGCTGGTACACCTGTGCAAGACTGAAGGGGAGGAGCCGGTACACCTGTGCAAAAAACTGGAGGGGAGGAGCCGGTACACCTGTGCAAGACTGAAGGGGAGGATCCGGTACACCTGTGCAAGACTGAAGGGGAGGAGCCGGTAAACCTGTGCAAGACTGAAGGGGAGGAGCCGGTACATCTGTGCAAGACTGAAGGGGAGGAGCCAGTACATCTGTGCAAGACTGAAGGGGAGAAGCTGGTACACCTGTGCAAGACTGGAGGGGAGGAGCCGGTACACCTGTGCAAGACTGGAGGGGAGGAGCCGGTACACACCTGTGCAAGATTGGAGGGAACGAGCCGCTACACCTGTGCAAGACTGGAGGGGAGGAGATGGTACACCTGTGCAAGACTGAAGGGGAGGAGATGGTACACCTGTGCAAGACTGAAGGGGAGGAGCCGGTACACCTGTGCAAGACTGAAGGGGAGGAGCCGGTACACCTGTGCAAGACTGTAGGGAAGTCCGGAATTCAGCTTTAAATAATTGTCATGAGCCTGCTCTCCTCCATTTTTTTTTTCTGTTAAGTTCCTCTGTAGCTGTTGCTGGAAGTTGGCGGCGCGTGTGATTGGGCAGACAATGACATCCATCACCCTGTCGCATGGAAGAGAGCCAATCAATGCTGGCGCGCCACCAACCCCACACGAAGCGCGCTGTGCTGTGTCAGCAGAATGTCTCCACTCAAAGCGTATGTGTCAGACATTCTACAGAGAACCTGTACTAGGAGAACTACACAGGCTGGATCTTTCAGAAAATGCTAACTGCCTGGCCACCTGTGACCCTTCATCATTGCTGGATTGCCAACCAGCAACAAGCATGCAGCCAGTGAAAGCTGGAAGTCAATGTCCTCTCAGAATGAGTCCACTGTCGGCACACTCCCTGGAGATGAAGGGCAGCAGTAGTGCTCAGTACCCAGGCCCTTCACCAAAAAAAAGTGAAACTAGTTTCAGGGAGGCACACATAGGGACTTTCAGGCTAACAAAGTTAATATCGAGCTTCTTATGCTGGAAGTGGGGGTTCGATCATTAATTAGTAGTACTGGCTTCACACCGCCGCAGTGCGGTTTGGCTGCAGTGCGGGTATACCAGCGGTTTTCGTGCATCTCCCATAGACTTTCTATTAGATCAAACATTTTTGGTGTGTGATTTTTTTGGGAATCCCCAGCCATCTAAGCAAATGGGCAGGGAATGGAGCATTAATTAATTGCCTAAATATGGCCACATGGGCATATTGAAGCAATGATGTCACCACTATCTCAGCTGTCAATGGTTGCTAAGGAAGCAGCAGCTGCTTGCACCCACTGCATCCTTACCAACCACTGACATCACCTAGCTCATTCACTTACATGGCTGGGAAAAAATGGCCACCTAAGCAAATGGATGGCAGGGAATGGAGCGCTGATTCTTTTTCTAAATATGGCCACAAGGGTAAAATTTGAGCAATGATGTCACCACTATCCCAGCTGTCAATGGGTTGCTAAGGAAGCAGCGGCTGCTTGCACTCACTGCATCCTTACCAACCACTGACATCACCTAGCTCATTCACTTACATGGCTGGGAATCCCCGGGAACCTAAGCAAATGGGCAGGGAATGAAAAGTTAATTCATTGCCTAAATATGGCCACATGGGCATACTGAAGCAATGATGTCACCACTATCCCAGCTAAGATGGTTGCTAAGAAAGCAGCGGCTGCTTGCACTCACTGCATCCCTACTAACCACTGACATCACCCAGCTCATTCACTTACATGGCTGGGAATCCATGGCCACCTTAGCAACTGGGTAGAGAATGGAGCACTATGTCATTGTCTAAACATGGCCACACGGGCATATTTTGGGCAATGATGTCACCATTATCCCGGCTCTCAATGGTTGCTAAGGAAACAGTGACATCTTGCACCCACTAAGTCCTTACATCCAGGATTGCTTTTCATTTTTAGTGTTTTGGCTTTCCATGCCTTTTTGAGCTCTCCCTTTCTTCATGTGTTCAATACTTTTTCCCTCTGTCATTCCATCTTAATACACATGACTTAATATCTGAACGTATTTGTTTCGGTTTCTTTACAAGGGTTGTTGCCGACATGTGATGAAAATTTCATGTCAATAGCACTTTTAGAAATATATTTACCTCCTCTGCAACAACGCCCTCAAGTGACCACACTGTGTGATCCATGTTTTGTCTAGGATGTTTTTGTTCATTTTCCTCTTTGTATTCGATGTGATTTTTTTTTCTGGCTACATGAGCCCGCTACATACTGTTTCTGCCATAAAAAAAGGCTGGTGAGCCATTTTTTGACCATTACTGTTTAGGTTGCCATGCTCTTGAATTATACGGAGCACAAAGAAACAGGCAATGCTGAGGAGCGTAGACGCAGTGGTTGGGCAATGCTGAGGAGCGTAGACGCAGTGGTTGGGCAATGCTGAGGAGCGTAGACGCAGTGGTTGGGCAATGCTGAGGAGCGTAGATGCAGTGGTTGGGCAATGCTGAGGAGCGTAGACGCAGTGGTTGGGCAATGCTGAGGAGCGTAGATGCAGTGGTCGGGCAATGCTGAGGAGCGTAGACGCAGTGGTCGGGCAATGCTGAGGAGCGTAGACGCAGCGGTTGGGCAATGCTGAGGAGCGTAGAGGCAGTGGTTGGGCAATGCTGAGGAGCGTAGACGCAGTGGTCAGCCAAGGAAACAATACAGCAGATGAAAGACACATCATGTTGACTTCTCTTCCAAATCAGAAGATGTCCGGCAGTGCCACCAACACAGAACTGGTGGAAACCAGGTACACCCATCTACTGTCTGGAGAAGTCTGGCCGGAAGTGGTCTTCAAGGAAGAATTTCAGACAAAAAGCCATATCTCCGAGGTGGAAACTAAGCTAAGCGACTCATTATGCACAAAAACATAGGGACTGGGGCGCAGAAAAGTGGCAGCAGGTGTTCTAGACTGATAAGTGAAAATGGCTGCAGCAGGAGGCAGTTTGTTGGCGAAGGGCTGGAGAGTGGTGCAATAATGAGTGCCTGCTGGCAACTGTGAAGAATGGTGAAGGTTCCATGCAAGTTCTACATTGCATTTCTGCAAATGGAGTTGGAGATTTGGTCAGAATAAATGGTGTCCTCAATTCTGAGAAATACAAGCAGATAATTATCCATCATGCCATACCATCAGGGAGGCATGTGATTGGTTCCACATTAATTCTGCAGCAGGACCACAACCCTAGACCTACAGCCAATGTCATTAGGAAATGTTCAATGTGAAGAAGAACAAGGAGTCCTGGAAGTGATGGTTTGACCCCCACAGAGCCCTGATCTCAACATCATGGAGTCTGTCTGGGATGACATGAAGAGACAGAAGGATCTATGACATCCGACATCTACAGAAGATCTGGGCTTAGTTCTCCAAGATGTTTGGAAGTGATGATTTGACCCCCCACAGAGCCCTGATCTCAACATCATGGAGTCTGTCAGGGATGACATGAAGAGACAGAAGGATCTAAGGCAGCTGACATCTACAGAAGATCTGGGCTTAGTTCTCCAAGATGTCTGGAAGTGATGGTTTGGTCCCCACAGAGCCCTGATCTCAACATCATGGAGTCTGTCAGGGATGACATGAAGAGACATAAGGATCTAAGGCAGCTGACATCTACAGAAGATCTGGGCTTAGTTCTCCAAGATGTCTGGAAGTGATTGTTTGACCCCCCACAGAGCCCTGATATCAACATCATGGAGCCTGGGGTGACATGAAGAGACAGAAGGATCTGAGGCAGCCAACATCCACAGAAGATCTGAGCTTAGTTCTCCAAGATGTCTGGAAGTGATGGTTTGACCCCCACAGAGCCATGATCTCAACATCATGGAGTCTGTCTGGGATGACATGAAGAGACAGAAGGATCTGAGGCAGCCGACATCTGCAGAAGATCTAAGCTTAGTTCTCCAAGATGTCTGGAAGTGATGGTTTGACCCCCCCTACAGAGCCCTGATCTCAAGATCATGGAGTCTGTCTGGGATGACATGAAGAGACAGAAGGATCTGAGGCAGCCGACATCTGCAGAAGATCTGGGCTTAGTTCTTCAAGATGTCTGGAAATTATAGTTTGATCCCCACAGAGCCCTGATCTCAAGATCATGGAGTCTGTCTAGGATGACATGAAGAGACAGAAGGACCTGAGGTAGCCGACATCTGCAGAAGATCTGGGCTTAGTTCTCCAAGATGTTTGGAAGAACCTACCTGCCGAGTTTTTTTTAAAAGTCTAACCTAGAAGAAGGCAAAGGGCGATCACACCAAATATTGATTGGATTTCTCTTCTGTTCATTTCCAATTTCTTAATTGATAAAATAAATTATTAACATTTCTATTTCTGAAAGCATTCTTCATTTACAGCTGAAATTTACAGCTTCTGAAAGCATTTCCAATATATAGATTGTGGTCAACCCTCGGATTATAGCCATGACATCATTTACTATGTCTAACTCCCAGAGCCGTCTTGTCAATTTTCGGGAAACTTAAAGGCAGTCGGTAAGAAAAGATGATCAAAATTGTCTGTGAAAAAATGTAAAACTTTGTAAAAATCTAATGATTGTTTCCTGAGAACAAGCCAAACTGTTAATATTGTATTGATGGGCTGAAGGGGACGTCTTCGACTGTTAGAAGCTTGGTATTCTGCATCCCTCGGGTCTGGGATGCTGACCGGTCTTTATTCCCTTTGGTCAGCTTGCCCAGGTCAGTAGAGGTTTAGGTTCTTCCAACAGCCCCAGAAATGATCACACATCTGCTGGGAACAGCCATAGTTCCCTGTGGCTGGGCCTGACATGCTTGCATGCCAACTGTCCCAGCTATGCTGAGTCCATCCACCAATGTAAGGTCAGTTCCACCAATGCAGGGCTAGTCTATCAATGCAGGGTCAGTTCCACCAATGCATGGTCAGTCCATCAATGCAGGGTCAGTCCATCAATGCAGGGTCAGTTCCACCAATGCAGGGTCAGTCCACCAATGTAGAGTGAGTCCACCAATGCATGCTCAGTCCATCAATGCAGGGTTAGTTCCACCAATGCATGGTCAATCCACCAATACAGGGTCAGTTCCAGCAATGCAGGGCTAGTCTATCAATGCAGGGTCAGTCCACCAATGCAGGGCTAGTCTATCAATGCAGGGTCAGTCCACCAATGCAGGGTCAGTCCATCAATGCAGGGTCAGTCCATCAATGCAGGGTCAGTTCCATTAATGCATGGTCAATCCACCGATGCAGGGTCAGTCTACCAATGCAGGGCTAGCCTATCAATGCATGGTCAGTCCACCAATGCATGGTCAGTCCATTAATGCAGGGTCAGTTCCATCAATGCATGGTCAGTTCCACCAATGCAGGGTCAGTCCATCAATGCAGGGTCAGTTCCATCAATGCAGGGTCAGTCCATTAATGCAGGGTCAGTTCCATCAATGCATGGTCAGTTCCACCGATGCAGGGTCAGTCCATCAATGCAGGGTCAGTTCCATCAA